CGCTAGTAGTAACAGGTGCCTTACTACTAGGAACAAGGACGCTACTACGAGCTCCTGGCATCGCTACTATTAGCATCCTTGCTCCAACGGCCCCCCAAATTCCGTGAGTCCCTTGGGCCTTGGTAACCATAAAGTCTCGCCACAAATGCTGTACAAACCTTCTGCCACCTCGGTACAAGAAGGAAAAATTGGAATCATAACTAGCAATGGCCTTCACCCAAGTAGCGATGGCCTCCAACCTACTAGCAATGGCCTCCAATTATGAACATGACTCTTGCAGAGTAATGAAGAAACATTTGTGTCCTGAGATGGACTGGTCAAATGCTGAGATGTCGGATGCTCCCATGTCCCAACGTTTGTCCTTTAGGACCACGAAGTGTCAAGCCTCCACAGGCAAGACTAGCGGCACAGCTGGAAGCCTGAAAGCGAAGCCGCCAGGATTGAAACCGCAATGCGAAACCCTTCAATAAGAAATGACTGAATGCAATGCCCTTACAATAAGAAGGATCCCAAAAGGCCCTTACAGTACCTTCTTCTTCTCGATCCCAATGTGAAAGCAACGGTTGCAGAACATCCACTCACTTCCAACGTCTTGGGGCATGGCCCATCAATGCTTGCTGTGACGAGACCTAAAACCGTCACAGAAAGCAAGAACAGAAAGCCCACAAAATCTCTCAAAGCTGATGAAACACCTCATTTCTGTTCATTTGTGTTCTTCGTCCTCATCTCAGACTCGGGCCCAAAGCCCTTAAATGTTGCAAAACACCATCAGCAAGCAACACGTGTTTTCGTTGCAAGGCAGCCATAGCTAGTAGGTCGGAGGCCAATTGCTAGAAGGTTATTGCAATTTGCTTTGGAATTGATCTGCCCAGCTGCCAGCGCCAAATTCGGCGAAAGCCTCGCTGCCCAACCAGTTTCACGATCGGCATCTGAGGTTGGCAGGATCTCTTGAACTCGAAGCACAAAAAAGTCATTGTGACTGAAGTTTTATATGTATATAAATATATGTACATATATGTATATATAATTCTATAATCAAATCGAGGAAGTTATCAGACTCGCAAGCCTCAAGTTTGGAGAGCAATCTGGAAACCGAACTAACCACAACAAAGCAGCGCCAAAATACAAGCCCGCTTATCACCACTGAGATCTGAAGAAGTAATGAAATGCTTTCATGCAAACATACATCCATTTGACGCGCATAAACTGTCAAACCATGAGCCACTGGAGCCTCATTGCAAACATGTTCCCCGAGCGCCACCACCAATCGCTGCGCACACTGATCTGTCAAGCACAGCTATGAACCTACTAGCAAAAGAAACCTAATTGCGATGGCCTCCAACCTGCTGGCAATAGCCTCGGACCTACCTCCAACCTAATAGCGATGGCCTCCAACCTACTAGCCTACTAGCAAAGATTATGTTTATCGTTTTTGTTGTGATCAGATTCAAGCTCAACAGCAGCAACCATGATATTGCAGCGACCTTGCACTTCAGCAACGACACAGAAGGGCATCCTGCCAGCTACTGCATACTCTTGGCAAACGTCCGATCTTGTTTCCAACAAAGAATGTTCAAAAATGGTGCGCCTTCTTCCGTTGTCTGCTTTTGCTTGGACATGCCTTGAGTGCTCGCCAAAACCGCTGTGGATCTTGATCCCGCAAAACGATGACTCCGACGCTAGTAGGCGATGGCCTCCAACCTAATAGAAAAAGGAACCTAATAGCAATGGCCTCCAACCTGCTAGCGATGGCTCAGATAGCACATGGTGAGATTTGGATTGTGTTTAAAGCACAACGGAGCCAGGCCGCCAAAGCACAAGACTGAATCGAACTGCCACTTAGCCGTAGCCAATTACGTCGATGTCGCTGCGCACGGGTGTAGAATTTTGCCACTGAGAAATTGGAAGCATGGTGGACGCAGCTTGAGAAACCAAACCTGTTTTTGGAAGTAATCTTTGTGGAAAAGAAGCAAGCTAAGGCTGAAGCTGTCGCGCAAAGACTTGCGTAGGCTCTTTTGTTGCATCTTCCCACGCCTGAGTCTCGAAGCAAAGCAAGAGAAACAGAAAAAACAGAACAGAGAAAAACCACAGAACCTGCGCATTGTAGTCATTCACAAAGGGCACAAACTGCCTTGCACGTGCGGTTATGCGAGCGGCAGTTTGTGTAAGGAAACTCACGAGGTGTACTTATGCGATTGCTCGGTCTCAATGTTGAAACCGTCAAGTAAATGCGGAACGCAAAGTGGGGAGGGCAAACCAGCATGTTATGGGTTCATGGCACTCCACAAAAAGTTGTGATCAGGGCCTGCCTCTACTGTCAAGAAGTACAAATGGCCTCCGACCTAGAAACGTTGGCCTCCTAAGAACTATGGCCTCCAAGGGGAGAGAAGCGCTTGTACCGTCAATGGGCAGTTGCGGTTGTACCGGATCCCCAGTCTTTTCGCCCGGAGATAAAATCTACTCGACCGAGGCAAGGCTTCGTCTTTTTGTTCCTAGTAGCGTCCGATCGCTCCGCTCGTAGCGATGCCCTTTGCTCCTAGTAGCGAACATTGCTCCTAGTAGTAGGGCCAGGAGCCCC